ACAAAAAAAGGACTATAAATACTCCGCTCGAGCACATTTCGCTTCTTCAAAACTCCATTACTCATACTTTTTAAGTTTTAAAATTTGGTGCTTAGACTGTTGCAATTCATTTATCTTCAGCGAAATCCAACGGCGCGCGCGCACACACACATACACACACGCACACACGTATTTTGTTTTTCAGTTTTGTAGATTTTTTTTTTTTTTTCCTGGCCTGCTATCACAGCATTAGAAATCCAGAGAAAAAGCTAAGCCGACTGAAAGCCAGGGAAGATAGCAGCAAGCACAGAGAGAGCACGAGTTCCCCACCATGGCTCTGCAGCTCATGAGGAATAAAGGAAAAGGTGTGTGCTTTGATGAGTTTCCTCTTAACTATGATTACAGAACACCCTGTCCCTGGGATGTGAGACATTGGTTCACCTCCACAATATGCTGAATTCTCCACAGATGAAGGAGTGTTCAGAATCCAAAGCCCACTCACTGCGCATCACAAACCGCTAGTTCTGTGCCCTCATTTTTAACACTAGAGTTACACGACCTTTGAGGGTCACCCTGAGCCACGGGGCAATGTACTCCTCTGTGTTTTCTCCCTCTTGTTGCTAGGTCAGTTTTAGAAATAGAAGGCTTCACCTCTTTGTCAGTTATCTATTTACTGACAGAATCGATGCACCAGGTTGAAGGCCACCAGGCCACCTTGTTCAGTCATTTTACGGGATCTTCCTCTTTGTAGATGATACTTTCCCATTTCATTTGTATTTTTCACCAATGTCATTTTCCCCCACAGATTTTATAAAAAGTGCCTTTTCATGTGGTTCCAGTTCAGTGATTTGCCCACCCCCTGAATAATGCAATTTGCATTCCCGATTAATAGTTGTGAATCAGTAATTCTTAAGTACCTCCTGATCCATATTTTCAGTTTAAATGATTTCTAATGTTACTGGCCAGGCGTGTGCTTGAACCCAGTACCTTTGCGGACTGGTTCCAGCCCCAGGACAGCAGAGTTACACTCAGGGAATGTGAACATGCTTAAGTCTCTGCCCTGATCTCTTTGGTTGTAGAAGGCAGACAGCCTGCCTTCCCACTTCCCCCAGAAGTGGTAATAGGTGAGCAGATTAATAAATTGATAAAAATCACGCTAGGTTCCAAGCCCATCTCCTCTTCTGGTACATATTTAGGAAGACTTACAAATCTCCTTCAAGCATCTGGTCCTTCTTTGATTTGGCTCTGCCCTCCCCACTTTTTGACTTTATCCTTCAGTAAAATTAAATAAAGTGAAAGAGCATAGTAGGAGTTTCTCTTTCCTTATGGCTTCCCAGTATTTGAGAGAATCATCCTGTGTTAGGCCAGTTGTTGTTAGTTCATGTTTTTACCACCCACCAAAGAACAGCACAGGATTAAGTTTATGTTAATAAATGATGTTCATGACTAGGTTTCTACATGCCAGAGTTATGATTTATTTTTTTTAATGGGTGGAGATAGGAGGGCAGCAATAAACTAGCCTCTAAGTCACTCAAAATCCTTGGCTTGACACATCTCTGTGGGTGTTTTGGTCTTTTTTTTTTTTTTTTGTATGTACCTCCAATTCTCCTTTAAGTTCTATTATAATGAACTAAATATTTTGTTGACTACCTTTGTCCATGGCTTCAAACCCTGTTTATTTTAGTTAAATTTATGAAAAGTATGGTATGTTCCCCTTTTCTACCTTCTGTTTATAATTGTCCCTACTTATCCCTCCACCCCCTTAAGAATTTCACAAGAAAACCCTGCACCAAATAAATTAAAATCTGCAACTTCAGACACCCCAAGAGGAGGACATTAATCCACTTAGTAAAATACCCATACCTCCCCCTCTCCATTTCAGCTCTTCTTAATGTAACATTTAGTAATTGCAGCTGGCTCCTTATACTTTCCTCCCTCCTTTTCATTCTGAATCATATTGGCCTTGTTTGACCTTCATTTCCTTTCCTGCCCCCCACATTTGTCCACATACTTTTCTTTGACCATGTTGGTCTTTCTTTTGCTGCCTGGATTAAAAGCAATAAATAGAGCTTTCTAAGAGTGTAATACTTTCTGTTAAAATCCCACTCTACCTCCCCATTCACTATTCACGCTTTGTACAATTTTTTCTTATCTTTCTTGTTGTGTAGTTACTGCTCTATATTTTTCTGATTGATCATTAAGTTACGCTGGCTTTTGAGAACTGCCTCCATAATCCTGAAGCAAAGGCTTTTTACTTGGCATGCTCTTTTCCTTTGGAATGCCTTTCCTGGCAAGGACAGGCATTTCGGTTTGACTACGATTCTTAAGTTACAATTCAAGGCTAATTTGTTCAGTTGGGCTTCTACTATGAGCAGCTCTGGTTCTCACTGTGAAGTACTCCATGAGGTTGCTTAGTTGAAGGGTGTGTTGTAAGTACAAGATGTAATATACTTACATTGTACTTGATTATCAGTTTTCAAAAACAGCTGCATGCTTTGATATCTGTGTAAGGAAATATCAGAAGATAATATACCATTGGTATTTATTACTCTATAATTAAGGATGTGTCAGTGTTTCTCTTTTTTAAAAAAAAACCCCTATTTTCAGAAATTCATATCTCAGGCATAAATTTCCCTATGAATTACAGTCTAATACCATATTAGAAGTATCTTCTTTTTAAGTTATCCCTCCCCTTCCTTTTCTTTCCGGGGAAGTAAGTTTCAGGATGTAATTTCTGGGTTATCTATTGGGGATGAGAGGAAGCAGTCCCTATGCTGCACAATTAAAGGTGCCTCTGCCGCCAATGCCACCTGCCCCCTGTATCCTAGACCCTCTGTGCACCAGGTGAGATCGTGGGGGCTGCCTCTGGATAAAGGGCCAGCCTCCCATCTATGTGGATAAGCAACTTCATCATGGTATGAGGTGAAAGGCAACAGAGAAGGCTCAGCTCTCCAGAAGTACTGCAGGTGCCAGAGAGTCTGAAATTTTAGTGCCAGGAATCAATTCTTATACATTCCTCCCTCTATGGTCACTTAGAATACAAATGTGGCCAGGAGTAACATGAAATAAATCTACGGAAAGGTACTGGCAACTTATCGACCCATGTTCCTTCTGCCAGTAGAAGAAGCAGAAGGAAGAAGGAGGGGAGGAAGAGAGAGAGAGAGAGAGAGAGAGAGAGAGAGAGAGAGAGAGATTTGCCCCTTTCCCTCAAGGGTGGTCTTGACCAATTGAAGTGACCGTGGCCTTCTGTAAGAAGCTGTTTCTACACCTGCCTCTACTACCAGGGGACCCACGGCAACTGGGCTTCTCTTTAGGCCCTCAGTTTCTCCACAGGTTTCAAAAGCAAATGCTTACCAGGAGGGCCAGGGAAGGTACCTATATGCATAAAGCCACGTGTAAAGACCACAGGGCATGGTGGGCCCTATGACGGATGTGGAGGCTGAATGCCTCCCGGCAGGTGCAGTAATAGTAACAATAAAGACACAACATTGGCTTCACTGCATGGTCTCTCCTGCCTCTTTCAAGACCAACAACATAGGCCACAAAGCAGCTCCCTGCTACCCCCTGCACTCTCTTGCCTAGGGGTCCAATAGTCATGCACACTGACCTTGGTGCTTCCTGAAAGACACATCAGTGACGATGACACCATCCCATGGAGGGGAAGGCTTATGCAAAAAGTCTCTGTTTCTACAACATAGTCTGGTTCCTAAAAATGCCTTTAGACGACCCCTTAATTTTCTCATTTGTGAGGTGATCATGGAACTCTTAAATTGTCAAATATAAAGGACTTCAAATTCCTAAGAGAAACCTATCGCTCAAGTATTCCCAGAAGTCCCTTCTGGCACGCCACCTTAGGTCAGCTATTTAAAAATGCAGTAACTGTTAGGAGAGTAACAAGCATCTTGGAGTGTCTCCCAAGGAGAAGCAATTCCTCACATTCATTTGTGAGAACAATTATGAACCTGTCTTAGGGTTGAAACTCATAACCATAGAGTTGCAAGGGAGAAGAAGGCATCATCACTCAGGTAATGATAATGGGAGGGTCCCTGAAGACACTGACCCCACATTCCACTGACGGAAAATGGGCCCAGTAGGGTGAGAGAGGATCCTGGTCCCTGAAGTCATACATACCTCAAGTACAGCTAGGAATTCCAAAGACATGAGAGAGAACTCCCTCCCATGGATCGCAATGAAGGACAGAGTCCACAATTCACCCTGTCTTCAAGAGGAAAGGGAACAGGTGCCAGTATGGGAGATAGATACTGTGGCTAGGAGCTCAGACAGCTCTGTGCTCTACCACACAGCTCTGAATTTTCCAAGACGCGAGGACTGGCTCATGTAACATCATCCTTTTTCTTCCTCCCATTACCTTTCAAAAGGGAGTTTCCAGAACTATGGTTTTCCATCTTGAGTTTGTAATGTTACAGGAATTAGTGAGAAATGGTGATCAGCAGCCCTAGGAAAAAGAGACCCATGGACAATCAAGTCAGACTTTTTCAAAGTATGATTTGTTTCAGTATCAAGGTTAAGTCCTTGGCTCCCGGTAAGCAGAGGAAAGTCTTCTCATGCAAAATTGGCAGGACGGTTTCTTCCACTGTTTGAAGGGAAATGGTTATCTGACCGGATCAGTAACTTAGAGTCAAGAAATGTTAAGGAAGGCATGGTAGCAAAACTAACCAAAGTAGTCCTAGCTCCTATCAGAAGGCACATCTAACAATAACATGTAAGACACGTAAAAAGTCAGAGTGTGAAAAGACTCTGGGTAGAATGAGCCAGCTTCAGAAATAAGCCACTAATCATAGAGTAAATGTTACTCTCCCAGTTGCATGTCTGTGCCTTCTACCATCACTCCTCTGACTTAAAAGTTAGTGTACATTTGCTGTAAATCCCATGGTTTGTTGTTGTTGTTGTCCTGTTGTAATCACAAATGCACAAAGCTTTCAGCATCATGTAGAATTGTATGCATGTTTTTAACTTTCCCAGTTACATTTTAATGAACAGCCTTGAAGGGAGGATTTACCATGGAAGCATTAGTCTCCTAGGGGCGCCTGGGTGGCTCAGTTGGTTAAGCGTCCAACTGTGGATCTAGGCTCAGGTCATGGTCTCACGCTTTGTGAGTTCAAGCACCACACTGGGCTCTGCGATGACAGCACACAGCCTGCTTGGGATTCTCCCTCTCCCTGCCCCTGCCCTACCTGCTTTCTGTCCGCCTCTCACAAAATAAATAAATACACTTAAAAAATAAAAGCATTAGTTGTCCTATATCTCAGTTCAAATTTTAAAATGAAACGTGTTCATGTCAGTGATTTATAACATATTCTCTTCCTTGTTAAATATAAGATCTAATATATTAAATACTACCTGATTTTTCACCGAAAGAGAGAGGCCCTTAGGGTGATACTTGTCCACAGTCAGCAGAAGAATAAAACACATAGACTATGTCGACATTAAAAGACAGCATGGATTCTCATTTGAAAATTGATTCTATCACCCACAGAAAGTATCTTGAGACTTAACTGAAAATTTTATTGTGGCTCATAATATTTCTGGGTAGCAGATGCTTTCTCAAAAACAGATTTTACTTTTAAAAATACCAAATATAATTAACACCTTCAACATAAAATGAAATCTTTGCTTCCAGATGCATTTCAAGGTGTTGAAATGAATCTGTGCAGCCCTGTGTGGCTGCGAGTTTCCATCGACTTCCTGATTCTGCTGCCATCTTTATGTGGCATGTCTGAAGATGTGAGAGTCAGAGCAGGGCATTCACACCTAGCCATAGTGGAAGGATTCTTACTAAACCGCAAGCTTTTTGAGAAAGGTCTTCTGACCTATTCCTGATCAACGTGGCATAAGTGAATAGGTTAAGAACCAGGTGCCCTGCTTTTTATTACAGAAACACCTAACCAGAAACACAGATTAGGTAAATTCATGGCACGTATATCCTGGATGCTGTATCAAGGTCTTGATAATGAGCAGACTTTTAAAGATACTTAAAATTGAAATTGGCTTAATGATTTATTTTAAAAGAATAAAATTAACAGGATTGAATGTTCCAAAAAAGGAAGATCAAAATTTGCAACAACCATACTCAAAATAAGAAATAATGAGAGTGTTCAATTTCTTTACTCAGAGTAAGGGAACTACGAATTAACAAGTCAACTTGTGGGGCACCTGGGTGGCTCAGTCGGTTAAGCATGAGACTTTGGCCTCAGGTCATGATCCCACAGTTTTGTGGGTTTGAGCCCCGTGTCAGCTGTGCTGACAGCTTGGAGCCTGCTTGGGATTCTCTGTCTCCCTCTCTCTCTGTGCCCACCTACTTCCACACTCGCGCTCTCAGAAATAAATAAATAAACATTAAAAAAAAAAGTCAACTTGTATTATCAATTATCCTGTGATTTCAATGAAACATGGGTTAATTTACTTAATAACACTCTATCCACAAAATGGGTTTGAGAAGCACACAAAACACACACACACTTCAAGTTTCAATTGTTAAGAATTACACATTTACAAAATTTTTTTATTGCTCACTTGCACTGAGACCAAGTCTGACAGCATAGTTCTAAGAAGTGACAACTTTAATGTAAATTTTTATTCTAGAAGGAATGCTGGGCATGGCTAATGACAAAATCTGATTTGAGTTTATGGGTGTAGGAAAAAAAAACCCCTCCATACACAGGTAACTTTCAACTATGTCTACACTGAGATGGGAGCCCATTGTTTTCAGGATACTAAAACACAGTAAACTCAACACTGTTTCTTGGCTGTGAGATCATACTATTATTTCTAGAAGACATCTTCTGACTGAAGCAAATTTACTGGTATAGTTCATCTTCTTAGATGATAAACCCTGCCTAGAAGTATCTCAGAACCTCTTAGGCATATTGACATCGAGTTTGCGCTCAAAAGGAGCACCCCTGGTAGATTCCGAGTTCCCCAGTTTCAGACCACAAGGGACGTCAGAAATAATCCCTGAGCCCTTTGTTTTATGAGTGAGGATGTAATTTGTTCAGTGACTTCCCTGCAAGCGATACGACTCGAAGCCAGAGCAGTGATGTCCAGTCATGCGTTAAGGGTCTCACATTGGTTAGGGAGAGGACTCGGTGCAGAGATAGAGTTTGTTGTTTCTGCTTCTTAATCTTCCTGCTTTTAAATTCTCAGACCTCAGGGATTCTGAACTCCTGCCTTCTTTGATCTGTAAGATCACCTCTATCCTGAGGGCTCTCTCCGTCTGGCTCCTTGACCTTGATCTGTTTCCTGCTGACAATTTCGCTACCTGTCAAATGGGCCCTCCTGCTGACGATTTTGCTACCTGTCAAATGGGCCCTTCTAGAATTCTGAATCACTGCCTGCTCAATCTCGGATGCTTGCTAGACCAGTCAATCCTTCTAGAAGCCGGAAGCCCACACTTGGCCCCTGCCTACCCTCCTCTCCCTGGCTGTTCCTCACTCTGTAGTGTATAAAAGTTATTTGTTTCAAAAGCTAGGAAACTTACAATTTACCTGTCAGTAAACAGAAGATGGTTTATCAACAGACTTTACCTTAATGACTACAAATGTTTACCTCCTGCTTTCCAGAATGCAAAGAAAATCTTGGAAATGTCATAATATCTTACAAACATTTGCAAAACAGATCCTTGTACAACCGGAAAAGAAACAATTGTATTCGTTGTCTCTGACACAAGAAAAGTGTTCAGTGAGAAACATACAGATAGATGTACACTCTTACACAGAAATGAGATATGCTAATTAAAAATTGCAGTAGGCACTTTATTAAAAATTTATTTTACAATCTAGCCGTTCAAAACATCTTTATGTCAACAAATACAGCAGCTTGACTATTGGAATCATAAGTGATTTATCTTGAAAAGATCATATTTGTAGCTGGATGCAAATATTTTTGAGGAATATTTATATCAAAATTACTGTTTTTAGTAGAAGTATTTTGATTTCTCTATTTTTACCCCAGGGGAAAAAAAAATTGAAACGAGTATCTCAGTGTTCATTTTATGGGCAAGATGGCTCCACTTAGTGTATTTCCCATGTTTGTCCAAATTACAGCTGTTTATCTTGCAACTTTAAAATAAATTAAATGCAAATGTAACTCTGCGGATCATGGGAATACCTGCCAGACCCCTTATTAATACCTTCACTTAAACACCCCCGTGCCAGAGAGTCATTAATTGGCTAAAATAAAAGTGCTAAAGCAGCCCTTTGCCCACAAACAACTCTGAGATGGCTGCCCAATTAGTCCGGTAGCATTCTGATCCTCCCTTCAGACCCTGTGGCCCTTTGAGGACACAAGAAGGCTCCGATGATAACCTGGCAACCTAGGTAGAAACACAGCCAAGTGCGAGCTTTTGAAGCTGCAGTTCGGCTGCCATCGTGTCGGCAAAAAGAAAGAATTCAGGCACCATGTCATCCAGTACAAAGGATAAAAACGGATTCAACCGGAAATTCAATGTGGCACCACATATGGGATACATGAGTGCGGTTATACAACAGGCCACATATTTTTTTGAACAGTCTCCTCCATGTGATGCCGAGGACATGTGTAACCATCATAACGTCTCTAGGAATCTGTATTTAATTTGAGTTGGGGTGGTGGCAGGGATGGGAGATCTGAAGCCGCCACAGGTTTGTGGCAGATGGCTCTGTGTCAGCTATGACAAGCAGCCAGGCTCAGCTTCCTCTGCAGATTTTCTTTTCTCTCTGATCAGGTAAATATGGGCACACTCTGGAAAGTTCTACAGATTCTGCCTTAGGCTGCAAGTTTGTGACTTAGCCCCATCTGTCACAAATCTTCCCTAGGTTCTGTTGTAAGCAGAGACCTGAATTTACCATGTAGGGCCGCCCAAGAAAAAGGAGTCATTTCACCCTGCGAGGGGGAGGGAGAGAAGAGAAAGCAAGGAAGAAGCATTAACAACCGAAAGACGAAAGGATGTTCAAAATTCATATTGCAAATTTGCATAACTTACGTCAATTAGATTTCAAAAAGCCACCAAGTACATGGTTCTCGAGTTTCATCAACTCAGGAAATCCCAGTTTCTGATTGGTTTAAAGTGGAACTGTATTTTCAACCGTACGGGAAAGCTCCCGATTTTTCGCAAATGGGTACATTCCACCGTGCACATATTTCCTGGTTTATGTGAGTGATGACGGCTGCTCAAAGTTTATCATCCAACTTTTAACTTTTATAAACACAAGATACCCAACGCCCTTAACCCATGTTTTTGCTAATGTGAGTTTTACTTTTAAGTGGCTAAGGCACAAGAGAAATGCCATCACTCCTACGTTAAACGCATAAAGCACTTTGAGTTTACAAACAGGTTTATATTCGTTATTTCATTATAGCAGTACCTCGACGGGGGGCGGGGGGGGGATGCTATTAAGAATTGAGGGAGGAAAAAAAATTCTTCTAAGTTTACAGATGAATCAGAGAGACAGGCTAAGAAGTTCACCTAGAGCCAGGCTACAAATGAGTAGCAAAGAAGAACAAGCCGCCAAAACCTCTCACTGTTCTTGATCACCCAAAGTGTATCTATTGTGCTGAAGGTTTTTGCTTTTATTTTACTTAGACAAACCAAAGGAAAACCAAGCCAAAAGAAATCAAGGAAGGAAGTGAAGAAGGAGAGAGGGAGAAGACTAGGGAGGAGGGAGAGAGGGAGGGAGAGAGATTGGGAAGTTGCCTTAAACTGTGCTCGTGCAGTTGAGAGATTTTTAGAAGTTCTAAAAATGTCACAAGCTTTTACGTTTTCATTTTTAAGGAAACAAGTAATGACTCCGGAGTGTTAATACAAGTGAGCAACACCTTATTGGCATCTAGAGTGTAATCTTGAATTAAAAGGGGACTATAAAGTGACCAGTCCCTTGAAGGAAACTTACAGTGGCCTGGCTGTGGTCCGGGTAGACAGAGGCTGATAGAATTAAGACAACCACAAATGGTTTCTCTGCGCACTGAATGTCAGCTGTAAGCTTAATCATTGTTTGGAGGCATTTTTAGGCAGAAATCTGAAAATTCTTCTTTCCTCCAATTAGGAGCAGGTTATAAAGGTTCCCAGAATGTTGAAGTATGTGAAGAGGAGAACAGAATAAAAACCAGCAGCTGGCATTTGAACAATCTTGAGAAACACAGGTCACTCTCAGAAAGCACAGGAGAGAACACATCTCTTTTTTTCCCCACTCAGAATTTCGCTCAATTTGTAAATAAAAATAAATGAGAAATAGGATGGGAACGAAAAGCTATCCGGGTAGTCCGGGCAGTATCTACTTTACACAGTGCCCTGTTTGTGCCCTGTGCTCTTTTCAGTATTTGTAACAATATAAGGTCCATAATTTTTTCTCTAAAGCATTTTAAAATATAATGATGAAAAGTCTGTAGAAACATAAGGAACTGATCCCAGAAGGTTGTTGGGAATTTTCAGTAAGTAAACTCACATAGTAAAAAGGAGGCAAAAATACAACTTCATGGTATTGAGCTTACCGGGGTTGGAAAAGGGAAAACTATTGTTAGTGTTAAGAAGTCAATCCTTGGCTAATTATTTGATGATTACTTCTAGAATCTTGTGTTCAAGTTAGGTTGGAGTCATAAAAAGCTCCCCATCGTGGATGAAATGAAACCTATTTTTAATCTGTGTGACAAGTATGTGGCCAATGTGTCTGACCTACTCAGAAAAGGAAGTGTTCTGAAAGTACGAGAAAGCTGCAGTCAATGACTAAACTTGGATGTAAACTTTTTAAAGAGATGGTTTAGATTTTTTAAATTATGAAAAAGGTTTTAGATTTTTAAAATGCTTAAAAAACATTTAATTTCAGTATGCATTGTATTTCTCTTAAGAAAGATCTTAAGAAAAGTGTGTGTGTGTGTGTGTGTGAGAGAGAGAGAGAGAGAGAGAGAGGGGGAGACAGGGAGAGGGAGGAGGGAGAACATACTTGCATGCATGTGAGGAATTTAAACATTTCAAATCTGAAACCATTTCAGGTGAGAAGTCATGGGCACAGTGTTCTGTAGTAGAAAGAGCCACTTTAAGAAAAAAAAAGTATCCAATTCTGTTTCTGCTTTTCAGTTACTAGCATTCTGTTTCAAATCCTGCTTCAAGTTATAGCCCCCAAACTCTCACTCATATTGAAAGTATAATGTCTCATGTGAGAAGAAAGCCAAGTGTTAGTAGCCTTATTCTAGTCATTAAATTTCTAAGTGTGAATCCATATGAAAAATCCTATCCTAAAGTGAACCCTATGTGAAAAGCAGTTGAGATGATTTTAAAATGTAAACTTTTGACAAAAAAAGAGAGTAAGGTGTAAAAATGTAAAAGGAGCAAATTAAAGAATTCAGTGACATTCTATCCTTTTAGATCTTAGAAGCATATGTTTTATAAAAGCAAAACAGCACTGTCCAATGGAATAAGTCTAAAAAAAACCCCAACATTCTCGTTAACAGTACACACAAAAGACTCTTCCATTGCATAAGAAAAGTAAGGAAAATACTGCCTTGGGGGGAATAGTTCTCTTGTATTTAGTGAAGGCAAAGGTCACCTGAAAATGTGCGTATTTATAAACCATAAGGTGAAAAGATAGCATAGCTGTTTATATCGTAATTGTAAAGTTTTAGAAGGCATCCTTTTTCTGTTTTGGCTCTACATCCTATTACAATAACCAAACTACATCTGTGGTCCTTTCCTGTATTTTTTTTTTAACCAGTTTCTCCTGAAAAATGCATCACAAAGCTCGGTTACCTTAATTCTTGGACTAATTTATTAATTTTAAGACTAATATTCAGATATAATATCATCAAGATCTATAAATGAGGGCACCTCTGAAAGCATATAATAGACTTATAAGAAAAAAAATCCACGGCAAAAATACATAAAAAAGAATTATACATACAAATTCCTATAAATGCTTACACATGAAATATTAACTTCTAAAACTTGGAGCTGGAATACTTGAGGATATTCAGTCTAAAAACATATGTAAAAAGTAATTACAGGAAATAACATGTAAGGCGTAGGTTATCTTTTAAGCTGTACGAAGAACAATTTGATATACTAACAGCATTACCACTGAGCTGACAATGTTTCAGAGTTTTTCCAGAAGTTGTTTGTAAAATAAATAATCATAGCTATGTTATAGAGTGTCATATTAAAATATTTCAACCAGATGTCTGTTTTCCTTTGCAACTAAAGGTAACTTGTCACAGTAACTTTTGTAATGGTTAAGAATTTGTAAACAAAGACTAACAGAGATAATGAGGCCTAACCTGAAGCAAAGTTAAAAACCGTTAAATTTTGATGGTGGGAATAGCATTATAAAACCTTCACCATTCTCTTCACAAGAATGTAAACATTTTCTTTCTTTCCTTCTTTCTTTCTTTCTTTCTTTCTTTCTTTCTTTCTTTCTTTCTTTC